TGCACTTTAACCAATTGAGCTGAATGGCCAGTCTGTAGAATTTTATTAAATAAATATTCCATGTTTAACTATTTCCCCATTGATAGACATTTTGGTTTGTTTCCAGCTTGATTGATTGCCTCTTTGTTTTTTGTGGGTTTTTTGTATTCATTTTTTATTTTTATTTATTTTAGGATATTATACAATTTTCAAAGCTAATAACGATCTTTTTTGTGTGTGCATTTCAAGCATAACAAAATAAAAGTATTTCACAAAAGAAGTCCATGTTATAATAGTATTGAAATATGAGGCATAGGGTAATTATGCATTTGTGGGTTATTAACATAATACATTCATTTTAAAGAATAAACATTTTGTTCTGCAAATGCATTAGGAGAGTTTCTCTAGAGAAGTGTTTTTCAAACTGTGGGCTACAACCAGTATGTTTTAAAAGTAGGAGAATAGAAGATAGTAGCAGAATAGGAGAGAAGAGAAGATAATAAGAGTAGTGTTTGGCAGAACTTTTTTTTCCAGGAGTGTGTATACTGGATTAATCTGTAAAATATATTTCTTTCTTTGGTTATAGACAAACAAGTTTGCAGACTGGTCTTTCAGGTTTTGTGCCTTAAACCTGACTAGCTGTTAACTGAATTGCTCTTCAAAGATGTGGTACCAGTGTGCAGTCTCACTGGTAGTGTACTGGTGTTTCCGTTGTTCTGCATCCTTCCACATTGTTTGTTTGGTTGAACTTTTAAATTTTTACTCACTGATGAATATGAAGCAGTATCTCATTGTGGTTTTACTTTACCTTTTCTGCTAACTAGTGAGATTAGTCCTATTTTTTAATACAAGAAAATTAATATAATTCACCTGGTAGATATTAGATCAGTGTTGAAAATGGTAATGAGTATAATACTCCATGGCATATTATAATTACCTTTCTGTGGATAGTTGAGATGACTTGGCTTGCTAATACTGATGACTGACAGTTGAGAGGTTTAAGTTCTGTCCTTATACAGTGTAATCTATGCTCAGTTCTGTAAATCTGAATCTGAATTTGGTGTAATGACCTTATATGTGTATTCATACAAGACCATCAGTAGTCATTGGTAGCAGTATCACTTTATTGATTTGAATACTAATATTTCTGTATGTTTGCATGGATACTTGCCCACTTTTTCTTTTAAAATATTATGATAAAAATATATACATGAAATATTTTTTTAAATATAAAAAGGTAAAAAAAAATTACTTTCTTTTTTCCTGTCCCCCACTTCTCCCCAGAAGCAACCACTTTTAAAGATTCTCATGTGACCTCTTAGATATATGTACTTTATCATTGTCTCTTCCTCCCGTTCCTCCTCCTCCTTTTCCCCCCCTAATTTCTTTGCTCAAATAACACCTTATTCATTGTTTTGTAGCTGGCCGTTTCCTCCACTTAATAATGTATCTCAAAGATTGTTTCATTTTAGCACATGTGAGTTTTACCTTATTCTTCTCAACTAATAGATTTGATTCCATTGTGTAGATGTATCACAATTTATTTAACTATGTTGATGTATATTTATATTAAAAAGAAAAAAACGCAAAACACACACACAGAATTTCAGCTTTTATAAACTTTGTTAAGTATTTTGTACTTACTTAAATGCATGTGTGAGTACTGTGTATTTGAAGGATCAATTCCAGGAGATAGAATTGCTGGGTCAAAGGGATATGCATTCAGATAGATGTTTGTCAAATTGCCTTCTAAAATATTGGATCAATTTATAACTCTCCAAAAAATGTATCAGGTGAACTGACCAGTATTTAACGTTAACAATGTGTGAAGTGCTCACGTTGTTCAGTATGTATGTGATCATAGTTTGAATAGAAGCTGTTTTGTGGTTTCCAGTTAGATTGTATACTCATATAAGGTGGAACTTATGGACCTCTTTTGGCTTTCTTTACCTCTAAAACCAAGAGAAAACCGACATATTTTAGCTTCATATAAAGCTAAAAAGAATCAGAAAAATACAGTGGTTATTCAGAATCTTTCAAAATGTATGAAGTCTGATACTTTTAAATTAAACAATATTTCTATTACTGCCTTATAAATATGGTACTACCAACAGGCTGTTTTTTTGTTTTTTTGTTTTTTTTAATATTAACTGCTCTCATTGGTAGTCTTAAGATAGTAATTTCCCGAAATTCTCATTATAAAAATCCTATACAGTGTCAGATACTGCTTCAATCAGTACTCTTTTGGTTGCAAGTGACAAAAAACCAGCTCATGGTCACTTAAGCAAAAGGGAAATGGTTTTGGCTTATGTGACTAGGAAATTCAAAGGACAGATTCCACCAGGACTCAAGAGTTATCAAGACTCTATCATTTATCTCTCACTTCTGCCCTGTCTTCTTTATTTCCTTTTTCCATGAGGGAGGCAGAGGTGGGTTAGCCGTGGACAGCTTCTGGCCACCTTAATGGAAAGAAGGAGCTTCAGACTACCTCTCACTCAGCATCTGAATATAAAAAAAAAAAATCCCAGGCAAAGACTCTAATTTAGCCAATCCTGGGTCGTGTGTGCACCCCAGTGATCAGGAGTTAGAAAACTGTAATTGGGAGCCACATCAGAATCACATGGAATGGGGGAAGGGAAAGTCTCTAAACGGAGTGATGCTGGGCAGATGCTTACTATAAAAGAAATATTCCAAATCTGTGTCTACGGGAGTTGGATGTTCATTTGGGGAGATGGGTGGATACCACAGACAGATAAATTATAACATAAGGTAACATATGGTTCAGAGAAGGCTACAAGGATTCAGAGGAGCCTGGGGAGTTAGAATAATCTTTTGTAGGAAATGGTGCCAGAGTTAAACATCAAGGAGAGAATTGAAGATGTGAACATTCATGGTTTTGTTGTTCTGGTCCCCATCAGTTGATTTCTTTCTTTGTAAGGCCACTTTTCTTTGGTCAGGACCATATTGATTTTTTAAAAATCATGCAGTATAATTTATATACAATAAGATTTACTCTTTATAGTGTACAAATCTGAGTTTTGACAAATGCATGTGATCATGTAACCATCATCATACACAAGGTATAGGACAGTAAATTCACTTTTATACATCTTTTTTCTGTTCTTATAGCTGGACTCTGAACCAGGTCTTTATACCCTGTGTAATTGCAGTAGATGTTGTGCCTCTGAGCTCTTCCCCCTGTACTGTTCATTGTATACACAGGCACTACTCCTTGACATGACTGCCCTGCTCAGAAAACCTTTAACAGTCCTCACTACTGCCAGAATAATAAAATACTGTTCAAACTCCTAAGCTTAACATCTGAGGACCTCTGCATCCTGTTCCTAGAACTGGTTTTCCAGCTATTCCTTTTATAATCCTTTACATGGACTCTCTTTGACAAACATTTTGCATGAACAACTGAGAGAATACAAGGAATTGTTCTATGAAAGCAGTTTTATCTTACTCGCTGACTTGTTTTTCTTCTACTCTTATTCGAGGATATTCCTCTAGGTTCAGTTTTCTCTTTTACTCATTTTCTGCTTTCTCTCACTTATGCTTATGTGGATGAGTCCTAAATACTTTCCAGAAGATAGTGAAATGGACTGGACTGTCCATCATGACACTTACTAACATGGTGATTCTGTCATTTAATGGAATCTGTGACACATGCATCTCTATAGCTTTTATCACTTTTGCTAAGTTTGCTGAGATGGAGGAGGCTGCTAAGTATATACGGCTCACCAGCAAGGTCTGCCTCAGAGTGACCTCTTGACTTTTTTCTACAGAAAGTATTGAGTATATCCTTTTTTGGAAAATCTCCTTTCTAGTGAATGAATGTTGGGGTTTCATTGTATAAATTTAAGATCTTGACTTCTTATAGTCCTTAGCATACTTTTTTCTCCTGGTACCATGTATCATTTTAATTTGCAGATAGTGGGAGTAAGCTAGAGGTGAGGAGGGTGTAGGAAGTAGGGCTGGAGGCAGTTAAGAGGTTGCTAGCAACCCAAAATCATTGTTTATAAACCTTAATTGTACAAAAATGAATTTAATGTTAATTGATCTCATTAATATTAATTCTGAAAATTAGAAATACATTTATCATTCTTCAGACTTATTAGGAAATGTAGTAATAATCCAGACAGTTGGGAGAAACTTGTTACTTTCACCAAGTTTTCTTTATAAAGCAGGGCTGATTATAATACCTCATAGACTTGTTCATTAAATGAGATATGTATGCTTGTTACAAACTAAGCTCTCAAATGTTGTATACATTGATACACTTATATACATACATATGTAAGCCTGGACATCACATCTCATAAATTGAGGAATGAGTGCCTAAAAGTTGCTTAACTGATTGTTAAAAATAAACTCTGGTGTCTGTTTCCTAGATGAGCCTCTTTCTTTTTCTTTCAGTATTTGAGCTTTTCTCTTTTCTCCTCCTTCCTTTCTACTTCTTTCCTTTCTGACCCCACCCTAAACCTATGCTTCACTGTGGAACTCCTCTCAGGAAGTACTTCTGGCAGAGGAAAAAAGATCTATACTGAGAACTTCCTGTCTGGTTGTTAAGAGGCATTTCTGTATTGCATGCAACTAACACAGTGTGAGATATGTTGCTCCCCTACCACCACCCCATGCCAGTTATCTTATATGTAGAAATTTTTTCTCATTTGTATTCTTGTCAAATCTTTCATAAATGCACTGTTATTTTTTAATCATGGTTACCTGTAAACCAGTAATTCCTCTAGGTAGTTGAAAGCTGATTATAATTTAAAATTTTTCACTTCTGGTTTGGAATTGAGTGGGAAAACTTTGAATTTAGATCTTCTATGGAGTTAAAAATTAGAGCTAAATTATTGCTTCGTGGTATTATTTTAACTTGACAATTATTAGATTAGTAGCAGTGTGCTTATCTATTTTTTAAGGTATATGTTTGAATAGGAAAAACTAGAGAACCTTTAGTTTGTTGAAATGATGTAATATATTGATTTGTAATGATATCATTTCTTTATTTACAGGTAGGCGAAAACCCAGAGTACATCGGCCTCGTTCTCCAATATTGGAAGAAAAAGACATCCCACCTCTTGAATTTCCCAAGTCCTCTGAGGATTTAATGGTGCCTAATGAGCATATAATGAATGTTATTGCCATTTACGAGGTACTGCGGAACTTTGGCACTGTTTTAAGATTATCTCCTTTTCGCTTTGAGGACTTTTGTGCAGCTCTGGTGAGCCAAGAGCAGTGCACACTCATGGCAGAGATGCACGTTGTACTTTTGAAAGCAGTTCTGCGTGAGGAAGACACTTCCAATACTACCTTTGGACCTGCTGATCTGAAAGATAGCGTTAATTCTACACTGTATTTCATAGATGGGATGACGTGGCCAGAGGTGCTGCGGGTGTACTGTGAGAGTGATAAGGAGTACCATCATGTTCTTCCTTATCAAGAAGCAGAGGACTATCCATATGGACCAGTAGAGAACAAAATTAAAGTTCTGCAATTTTTAGTTGATCAATTTCTTACAACAAATATTGCTCGGGAGGAATTAATGTCTGAAGGGGTGATCCAGTATGATGACCATTGTAGGGTTTGTCACAAACTTGGGGATTTGCTTTGCTGTGAGACATGTTCAGCAGTATACCATTTGGAATGTGTGAAGCCACCTCTTGAAGAGGTACCAGAGGACGAGTGGCAGTGTGAAGTCTGCGTAGCACACAAGGTGCCTGGTGTGACTGACTGTGTTGCTGAAATCCAAAAAAATAAACCATATATTCGACATGAACCTATTGGATATGACAGAAGTCGAAGGAAATACTGGTTTTTAAACCGAAGACTTATAATGTAAGTAAATTCTGGTCTTAGGTTTTCTTATATATTTAAAAGTAAACCAGTTTCCTTCATGATTGATCGATGTAGCAGAGCTTTGTGACTGATGCATTATAAATCTTTGTAATTTAATAATGAGATTTAAGGCTAAATAATTTTTTATTTGAAGGAATATATGCATTGAAACCGTTTTTAAAATTGTAAAGAACGAAGAGTGTATGAAAGAAAAATACATACCGTTGTTTTTGATGCCTAGGATAGGAAATAGAATGTTACTAGGTGGAATTCCGCCACTGTAGGCCCTTCCTTCGTTATATGCCCAGACAGCTCACCCAAGGTAGGTAATCCACACCGTAACTTTGGTGTTAAGGATTTTTTTGCATCTCTTTTTTAGTTTTACCACATCTATATGTAAAATGGAGCAACAAGAACAAATCTAGCTGTCTAAGGAAAGGTCAGTTCTGCCATTATTGATTGTACTCTCCAGGGGAAGGTAATCCCAGCAGACTCAGATTTATAGTCTGGCCTTGGTGTTCCTGAGGGTTTTCAAGAAGCTCTACCGGGCAAAGTCAGTGGGCAAGGTCAGTCTGGGAAAACATGGTTTACCTCAGTCAGGGCATTGTGTGGGGTTGTGGTGTGCACTAATTATTGAACGCCTGTAGAAATAGGGTCAGATGGATTGTGCTACTTTTTATTTTCAGCTTCTAAAGTCTTCAAAACCTTCTTCCAGTTCTCAGAATTGGGGCAAATCCGAAAATCTTTGGTGGGATGAAATAAATGTCAGAGCATGACCTGGAGGAGAGAGCAGGAACTTCATCAGTGATGTGTCGAGAAATCTGAATCCATTCTGATTCTTGAGTCTGTATATGACTCATTTGGACTTACTTGGAAACTTATAGAATCTTCTCTGCCTCTGGTTCTGCAGCTTTACAGTGATATGCCCTTATGGGGGTCTGTTTTCATCCATTAGGTATTCGGTGGGCAGTTTCAATCTGGCAATTGTGTCCTTCGGTTCTGAGAACTTCTCTTGACAACTTCCTCCTCTCCTATCCCTGATGTATTTATCTTGAGCTATTGTTTTATTGAACATTGTACTTCCTATTTTGGTCTTCTGATTTTCTTATCTTTTCTCTCCAGTTTTCCTCTTTGTCTTTTTTCCTCTTTGGTGTGTGTGTGTGTTGCTCAGTTTTTCTAGATGATTTCCTTATCTTCGTCTTCCAACCGTACTATTTAGTTTTTGTTTTCTGATGCCATATTTTTATGTTCTAAGCACACTTTTGTTCTTAAAAATCTTTTTTAAAAAGAAGTAATAAAATCCTGTGTTTGTTTCATGGATCTAATATTTCTTCTTACCTTTCTGAGGTTATTAATGATAGGTGTTTTTTGGTTTTTTCTTTTCCCCTTTGTGCATAGTCTTTTTCTTCTAAGTTGTTTTTTTCTGTTGTTTGTTTTTTTCTCTCTCCTCCATCCTCTGATGTCTATTAATCCTTAACTTTCTGCTCCCAATTAACATTGTGGAACCACATAGCTAATTAGAACCTCTGAGCAAATGGGTGGGCCCCATCAATTTCAAGCTTAACCACTGGGTGAGTTTCATAGTTTGGTTTATTGGGAAGTCCCTGATGTCTGCATCTTTAGCTCTTTCTTCTGGAACTGGTTAGGTGGCCCAGTGAGGCTTTTTCCGGTGTCCTACTTGGAGCACACAGGTCTAGCTGGTGGTATTCTGGCAGCTGAGTGGTGGAAGCAGACTGCATTTATCGTGTGTGCAGCATTTTCTGCGTGTATCGTCACTAAGCCTCAGTTTTCTATATAGTGCCTTTGTTCACAGCTGAGCCTGGTGTCTCCTGGTCCAGAGAACCTCTGTTTAACCTCTTCCAGAGACTAACCCCTTAGTGGATTGAAGGGGAGAGATAGTCTAGGAATCTGCCCCTTTTACAGCTTCAGCCAGTTTTCTGTTTTAGATACTCCCTCCTCATTTTCAGTGCCCTTTGAGAATTCTGAGCGTAGGTTGGGTTTGTTCTCAGCTTCACTCTTTTGGTTTGAGATTGGGCTTCTTAGGTTCTTCTGAAGCAGTAATCGCTTGTCCATCTGCTTTCAAAATTTTTTTATTCTCTCTTCTATTTTCCTTATCCTTATGAGTTTATGTCTTTAAAAATGTTTCTTTAGCATAGTTTTAACGGTTTCATGAGGGAGCAAAATTATATGTCACCTTAATCCAGATGCCGATGTTAGAAATAGTATGTAAACTTTTAAATGTATATTTTGTGTCTTTTGGTTTGGATCAATTATTTTTAAATATATGTACTTTTTTTTTTGGCTTATTTATCTCCCAGATAGCTGGTCATTGTGCTATTCTTTTTTGACCTCTTGCTATTGAGGTGGCAATATGGAAACCTTTGTCGGCAAGGTCATTACAAATGGTGAGATAACTGTAACACATTTTGGTTTGAAGTTTAAAGCTATATTGTCATCGTAAGTGAAAATCGAATCATACTGCCTGTCTGGGATCATGGTGCTTGGACTCTCTTTAGACATTCGGCAGTTGACAGGCCATGTTCACTCAGTATCATAATGACCTCGTGAAAGACACTTATCAGTATTGCTGTGAATAAATTAAAAAGTGAAATTTAGTCCATGCTCCTAGTCTCCCATTCCTATGCTTGCTTTCCCTATCTTGCCTTTCCTCATCCTTTTGGATGTTCATTCTCTCTGCCTCTTTTCTTCCTTGTGCTACCTTTTTTGGCCAGATAGAAACAAAGGTGCTTTGTCTACATACAGATAAGCCTTGACATCTTTAAGGCTTATTACACAGTAATCAGAGACCTAGGCCTTAACAATTAGAGACCTGTAACTACAACTAGTAGGTAATGATTTAGTAATAACAGCCAAGAACAACATTTATTGAGCACTTACTGTGTGCCTCACAGTATCCTAAGCATTTTATGTATTTTTGTCTTCATTAATCCTTGTAATAACCCCAAAATGTAGGTACTATTTTTTTCTGTATTTTGTAGATGAAGAGACTAAGGCTCAACGAGGTTAAATAACTTGCCCTCAGACTTGCCCTAGAACCTATGGCTGTTACGAGGTGGGACCTGGAACTTTTCCAGAACTGGTTTATAGAATATTTTTAATGCCTGATTTTATATTATAGTTTCCAGACCATCATCTTGAGAAGTCTGCAACTTACATCATTCTGACTGTTAAAACCAATGCTCATGGGCCGGCCCCGTGGCGCACTCGGGAGAGTGCGGCGCCGGGAGCGCAGTGATGCTCCTGCCACGGGTTCGGATCCTATATGGGAGTGGCCAGTGCGCTCACTGGCTGAGCGCCGTGTGGGCGACACCGCACCAAGGGTTGTGATCCCCTTACCACTCACGAAAAAAAGACAAAAAAAACCCCCCAAAAACCAATGCTCATAACTGGGAGAGAAAGATACTGTAGTGGTTTTTGTTATATTTGTTATATATTTGTTTATATATATTTGTTATATATATTAAATATATTTGCAAATATTTGTTATATTTTAAATTTTGAAATAAAGACATTTTTAGAAAATGTAAACTAAATTAAGTGCCGTTCCAGGAAAGTTTTACTTCCTGATATATCAGTATATAAAATAACACTTGGGGAAGCAAAGTATATACTACTTTGAATGTAGTTAAATAAGTGCAGACCTTTGAAATCACATGACTCAAAGGTCTTAAGAAGCTTTTAAAGCTTTTTAAAGCACCTGTGGGTGAATTTTTGATACGTTATTGATGAAATCAAATATTCTACTTTTCTAAGTTGAACAGTAAAATTCCTTAGTTATGTTTGGCAATAAAACTTCATTTAAATTTATTTGCTTTAAAAGCTCTAATTGTAGTCCATCAAATTGCCTTTCTTGATACATAGTAAATTACATAGAATTTAATGATGATTTCAGACAAATAAGGCTATTTTTTTTCATGCTGTGGTATTTTGGGTATTTTCTGTGTAAAATCAAATAGGAAACTTAAAACATCATAGTGATAATTAAGTGTTCTGTTTCAACAATTTTAGTAAATCTGAAAGATTTTACGTCTTTTATGAAAATTAGATTAAAACAATTTCAGTGTAAGTATCCCATTCTGGTAGATTATATGTGCATTCCTGGTGAAAGTTTTAATGCCATGTAAATTGTTCGAGTAGTTTACAGTGTATGAAGATTTGGTATATGCTTTCCCTGGAAGCCCAGAAACTTAAAATGATGAATCTCAGTGGCCCTGTTGTGAGGGGGATAGGGTGGGATGGTGGGGTGTGTGTGCCTAAGATAAAGTCTGTGTTAGTGAACAATTTTTAATTGTAATGTAATGGTTTTTGTTATATTTGCACTGTTATATTAGTTTATCGAAATAAAATTTTTTCATTATTTTATTTTATCTTTTGGCTTTTGAACAGCAGAAGTTTATTTCTCACAGTTCTGGAGGCTAGCAGTCTGAGATTAGGGTGTCAGCATGGCCGGGTTCTGGCGAGGGCCCTCTTCTGGGTTGCAGAGGGCTGCCTTCTTGTTGTGTCCTCCCATGGAGAAGAGGAGAGAGCTCTCTGGGCCTTTTTTTTTTTTTCTTCTATTTCCATTATTTTATTTGATAAGCATTTAAAAATACTTTAATTGTATAGGTTAGTGAAGCATATAATAAAACAAAGGTTCTTATACATGAATTTATAGTCTACCTATAAGGTAGCATGTCTAAAATGGACCTCGTCGTTTTCCTGCATTACCTTCTCTTCATCCACTGCTCTCATCTTAATAAATAGGATCACTATCCTACTGGCTGCTCATACTAGAAACCTGGGGATAATTTTTTGTCCTATATGGTTTGTTACACCTTTGAAATACCTCTTAAATATTAAATCAGTTTCTCTCCATTCTGACTGTCCCTATCAGTCGATATTATCTTGATTAGACTAGTTGTAGCATACAAGCTGGCCTATATGTAACCACTCCCCCATCCTCACCCTCTAATTCTGTTTTCTATTTTGTAGCTGGATGATTTGTAAAACAACAATTTTGATCTGATTTCCTTTTGAAAAATCTTTCAATTACTTCCATTTGCTCTTAACAGAAAGTTCAAACTCTTTAGCATATGTCTCTAAATTTGTACATTTAATTCTCTTACTTCCCACCACCCAAAACAAAATAAATAAAAAGCACACTAAAACACCTAAAAAGCCTCTTGGCTAACTCATCCTTCAAGTCTCAGCCTATTTATGCCATTTCCTAGGACTTTCTTACCCTAACCTCTTTCCCTCTTGCATCCTGAAATACTTCTACTTTTTACCTATAATTATGTGTTTTAAGGTAGATATCACATACTTTATAAGGTGAGAAAAATAATGGCAACTATGCATATTGCACCCACTAGGTGCTGGCACTCTTCTAAGCACTTTACATATTTAACTCACTTAATCCTAAGGAGCATTTTGATGTAAGTACTGTCACTCAATTTTTCTGATAGAGAAGTTGAGACAGATAGAAGTTAAGTAATTTATCCAAGATCATACAACTAGTAAGTGGCAGAATCAGGGTTCAATCCCAGGCATTCTGGCTCCAGAATGTGTGCTCCTAACCACTACTTGGGCTTCTTGACATAGCTGTTGTCTTTAATTGCTGAATTGCTACTTGTATTAGTTTCTGAGGGCTGCTGTAACAAAGTACCACAAATGGGGTGGCTTAAAACAGCAGAAATTTATTCTGTAACAGTTCTGGAGGCCAGAAGCCTGACTCAAGGTGTCAGCAGGGCCACACTCCTTCTGCAGGCTCTAGGAAAGAATTCTTTCTTGCCTTCTCCAGCTTCTAGTACCCCTTCCTTGGCCTATTGGCAGCATAATTCCAATCTGCCTACCTCCGTCTCTTCAAGGCAGTCTAGGATTTTTCTATTAAGAGCCTAAAAATTCTTCTAGCCTTTTCCCATTACCCAATTCCAAAGCCACTTCCATGTTTTTAGGTATGTGTTACTGCAGTACTTCACTTCCCAGTCCCAAAATTTGGGAGTTTTCAAGGCTGCCATAACAAAGTACCACAAACTGAGTGGTTTAAGACAACAGGAATGTATTGTCTTGGGGTCCTAGAGGCCCAGAGTCTGAAATCACATGTCAGCAAGGTTGGTTTTTTCTGGAGGCTCTCAGGGACAATTTGTTACGTGACTGTTGTAGTTTCTGGCAGTTCTTGGTGTTTCTTGACTTGGGGACAGACACATCACTCCAATATTTGCCTCCATCTTCACACTACCTTCTTTTCATACATCGCTGTGTCCTCTCCTTCTATAAGGACACCAGTCATTGCATTTAGGGCTCACCCTAAATCCAGGATGATTTCATCTCAAGATCATTATCTAATTACATCTGCAAAGATCCTATTTCCAAATAAGGTTACATTCTGAGGTTTCAGGTGGATGTGAATTTTGGGGGACACTGTTCAGTCTCTATTATACTAGTGATCCTTACTCTTAATTTCTATGGATTTGTTTAGAAGTAAACCTTGAAACTTACTGTTAGTCATTACTATTGCTTATCTAGCCTAGGTAAAAACCAAATAAGCTTTAAAATTTAGACATATAATATGTATGTTTGCTCTTAAATTATATTTTTGGCAAATGTTTTATTTCCAACCTGTTCTCTCTCTCTCACCCTGTGAACTCCTTGAGAAAGTGTGCTGATTAGTGTCTTCAGGGAAGCCAGGCCAGAGATTTTGTGGAAACCACATTGTAACTCCATACCAAATATACATACAAATCAATTCCTGTATTTATACAGGAAAGCTATTGTCACTTGTACAATTAGGACAAATAATTTTGATTATATAAACTGTGTAAATAAGCCCAAGTGCGTAAGTATAAAAAATACCTTTTTCAAAGCATTAGCAGTTACTCTTCACTCTGTTTTACTACTTTATGATTGTAGTGAATTTGTCCTTGCACACCCTCAAGAAGAAAAAAGTAAAGTCATGTGAATATTATCTTTGATCAGTAGAATAAAAGTTACTGAGCATCACATTTTTAGAGGGACATTGACAAACTACATTTAGGGGAAGAATATCAGGGTAGTGAAGACTGGAAAACGTGCCCTATGAGGAGCAATAAAGTATTTGAGCATGTTTGGCCTGAAAAGAAAAGACAGAGTGAAATTGTAGATGATGTGAAAGATTTGAAGGGCAGTGTATGGAGGAGGTGTTAGATTTATTTCACATACTTGTAGCAGGTAGAACCAGGAATAATTGGTCGGAATATTAGGGGTTTGAGTCATCTCAATATAAGAAGAAACTTTCTAAAGGAGGAATTTTATTTTAATTTAGAATGGACTGCCATATGAAGCTGTGAGTTCTGTGTTGTGGATGGGAAATTCTACAGATGCCAGCATGGACCTAACATAACAGCCTCTGTTGGGGACCCTTTCAGTAGTCTTGAGTTGTTTGAAAAAAAATTGACAGAATGTCCATTTAATCAAATTTGTTCCTGTAGCATCTCATTTTCATATTGAAATCTTACACTTGTAAATTACATTTTCTACCCCCAAAATGTGTATATGTAGGATGTTTTTCATTTTCCATTGAAATATGTAGATATTTCTTAATAGAGAAAAAACTAAATAATTCAATATGTTTGTAAGATTGATATTTTAGAAAATAATCAGGCTGTCCTATAACTCTTAGGTTCAGTCAGAGCTCACTACATAATTTTTAATTTGATTTTGTCACTTAATTAGATTGTTGAGTATGGTATTGAGTTTTGAAAGCTTTTAATGAATCTTTGATTAGAGGACTCCAACATCTTTGATGCTGTGAATTGGAAAAAGACCATTTCATCACTCAGTGTTAAGAAATCAGTAGAAATACTCATTAGAGAGTGAAATCTAGAGCAGATTTTAAAAACTATTTTCAGAAATTTGTGTGCAAATTTTTTCTTTAAAAGTTTTGGTAATTTTAATATACTTTTATTTATCTATGATTTAATATATCCCTTCTTTCTTCAGAATTACTGAATGACTCATTCCCAGAATTCTGCTAAATTTTTACTTACTACCTTAATAGTAATAATAACATTTAATATTTATTGATCACTAATGATGTGCCCAGGTATTATTATAGATGCTTTATTATAATACCTTTAAGTCTTACCGGGGCCCTGAGGCTGGCACCATTTTACAAGTGAGGTCAATAAAATGGCTCAGAGACTCAGAGAAGTTGTGTCTTGTCCATACCCACATATCTCATAAGCGACTGAGCCCATTTAAAGCCAGGTCTTTCTTAAAGCTCAGTTCTCTCAGCTCTGGCAGTTTGCCATTGAGTAAACAGGAAAATTAGACTCTCTCTTATCAGGTACCTCACACATATTCCTGAATTCCTTTTGAGTGGGAGAAGATATATCATTACATGTGTTTCTCTAACTCATGTCCTAGAAATTAATTTGCTGTGTTTCTTTTAGTTAGTGACCATCTCTGTTAATCCATCTCCATTAAAAGTGAATGGAAGGGGCCGGCCCGGTGGTGCACTCGGTAGAGTGTGGCGCTTGGGAATGCGGCTTTTGTTTTTTTTTTTTTTTAAAATAAAACCTTTGCTTTTAGCATAGTTTTAGATTTATAGAAAAGTTGCAAAGATAGTACAGAAGCTTCTCTTATACCCTGCATGTGGTTTCTTTTATTATATATATATATATATATATCTTACATTAGTGTGGTACATTTGTCATAACTACTGAACTGATATTGATACATTGTTATGAACTAAAGTCCATAGTTTAGTCAGATTTCCTTAGTTTTTAATCTGACATTCTTTTTCTGTGTCATCTGGGTAGCGACACCGAGGGTTGCGATCCCGTTACCGGTTACGAAAAAAGACAAAAAGGAAAAAAAAAAGTGAATGGAAGCTGAGGAGACTTGTAGGCAGGAAAGGAAGCTGCTCCTCTTCTCTCCAGTTTGTGCTTTGCTTGTCTGTAAGGAAAGAAGGATGAGGCATTATTGCTCAATTGAAATGACTCTTTCAAGGACCAGAACTTAGCAAAACATTTATACTATTTTGATGGAAATATTTCTAAATTATATTGTAATGTGAACTGGTTCCCTGCCTGCCATGTACTGAACATAGTTTAAACATTTCTGATGGGATCAGGGGTTAAAATTCTGCTCATCACATTGTTACCTTGATGATCTTAACGTTGATGTGTAACTAAAAGTGCCCTCCACCAGGTACTCACTCTGACGTGGCTCTGAATTTTGAGGTCATCCTTCTGTGTGTCATGTTTTTATTTATTTATTTATTTATTTTTTGGCAGCTGGCAGCCGGCCCATCCATTTATTTTTTCAGTCATTTATTTCTATCAGTATAGACTCATGGATATTTGTTTTATACTTTGAGTTATAATTCAGTACAGCCTTATTTATTTGGCCACTCAACCCTTGATCTTGGTGTTACAACACCATGCTCTAACCCACTGAGCTAACCTGCCAGCCCTCGTGTTTTTAGATGTTCTTATTTGCTACTGTACTGTATCTCTCTTATTGCTACTACTCCCAAATTATTTTATCCTAAGTTGCTGTGGGCTAGGAAATAAAAATAATTAGAGGTTGTTCAAATAAAATAAGAGTAAATCAGGTAAGACCGACAGGATCCCTTATGTGCACACATATTAGGCTGTAGTACATAAACTTTGTGTTACACATAACTTTTCACTGCATAGTTGAAATTGTTAGAGAAGTGGCATGCCTAGACATATAAAGTATTTCCTCCCTTTTTTAAACAGAGAAGAAGATACAGAAAATGAAAATGAAAAGAAAATTTGGTACTACAGCACAAAGGTCCAGCTTGCGGAATTAATTGACTGTCTAGACAAAGAGTATTGGGAAGCAGAACTTTGCAAAATTTTAGAAGAAATGCGTGAAGAAATCCACCGGCACATGGACATAACTGAAGACCTGACCAATAAGGCTCGGGGCAGTAACAAATCCTTTCTGGCAGCAGCTAATGGTGAGGGGGCATTTTCTCATTTTATTTTTGTTAAATTTAAGGTAAACTCTTGGTTTGAAGTCACTACAAAATTTGAAAATACGTGAAAAATTTCATGTGTGTATATTTTATTTTAATTTTCTATATTTCATTTTCCAAGAGAACCTTGTTCATTCCAACATAAATTAGGGATGCTATGCATTTTAGTGTTTTGTTTCTTGCCTTGGTCATTACTGATATTACCAAGTCATTTATTTATTTATTTAATTCAAGTATCTTATTAATCCTTTTTTGGCAGTCCTATTTTTAATTATAAGAAATGATATTTTTTTGAAATTTTTGTTGTTTTTTTTTTTTAAATAAAACCTTTGCTTTTAGCATAGTTTTAGATTTATAGAAAAGTTGCAAAGATAGTACAGAAGCTTCTCTTATACCCTGCATGTGGTTTCTTTTATTATATATATATATATATCTTACATTAGTGTGGTACATTTGTCATAACTACTGAACTGATATTGATACATTGTTATGAACTAAAGTCCATAGTTTAGTCAGATTTCCTTAGTTTTTAATCTGACATTCTTTTTCTGTGTCATCTGGGTAGGATGATCCCATTCAGGGTATACCACCACATTGTGTTAGTTTCCTTGTTTTTGATGACCATGACAGTTTTGTGGAGTACTGGTCAGGTATTCTATAGAATACCCTCAATATGGATTTTTGTCATGTTCTCCTCATGGTTAGCCTGGGGTTGTGGATTTGGGGAAGGAAAATCACAGAGGTGAAGTGCCATTCTCATCATCATGTCAAGGGTACATGCTGTCAGCATGATTTATTACTGATGACATTAACCTTGATCACCTGATTGAGGTAGTCTTTGTCAGGTTTTTCCGCTATAAAGTTACTCTCTACTTCTCCCACCCCCCCAAATACTGTGCTTTTTTGAAGCAAGTCATTATATACTGCTCATGTACTTAGGAGGTGGGGAATTATTCTCTACCTCCTTGAGGGAGGCAATATCTACATAAATTATTTGGAATTTTTTTGCACAGGAGATTTGTCTATTATCCATTTATTTTTATTTATTTATTTATTTATTTATTTAT